TTATTAGGGAATATAAATTTCTTAGTATAGTTTAATCTCAATAAAAAGTGGCAGGACAGCCGAATTATAAAAAAAAAGAAAATCAAATTAATCAATTAGTTGTAAAGTTGACAACTAATTGATTTAAATTTTACAGACCCAACTTAGTCAATTAATCAATTAGTTGACTAATCAATTAATTGATTGGCCAACTTATCGATTAATTGATTAGTCAATTAGTCAATTAATTGGCTAGTCAATTGGTCGATTAAATCAACCAATCATATAAGAATATCAACTGGCATTTCAGTTGCTACCTTATATATATTGTACCAAGTTTCATTTATTATTTATTCAACTAATCGATTAGTTGACCAATCAATTAATCAATTAGTCAATTAATCGATTGGCCAACTAATCAATTAGTTGAATAAAAACTGATTAATTGATTAGTTGGATAAAATGATCTATTAATAATCAATTGAAAATTTTTCATCGATTTGTATCACTGCTTATGAGTAGATCTAATAAAAGCTTTGCCAGCTTTCCTAGCCAAGCTAAAAAAAAAAAAAAATTTATATATAGTGGTTGTACCTAATGTTCCTAGTTGATAAATATTTTACCAATCGATTAGTTGCCAACTATAGTTGCAACTAATCGATTTTTCAAACTAAAAAAGCCAACACGGATTAGCCCAAATAGACGGAATATCATAGAATTGAACTAGTTGATAATTAAATCAATTAGTTGGTTTGAAATTTTCTAAATCGATTAGTTGGAAAGTTGTCAACTAGTTGATTTTCAACTAAATGATTCGGCTCACTAGTTGTATCTGAATAAATACAATTTAGGTTCGTTATTGGAACAAAATAGAGCATTATACCAAAACAGTTCTTTTAACAATAGTAGTGCTTCATCGTAAATTTCAACTAAATAAAAACCTATTTTTTTTAATGTTTTACCAATTTGGGGATCGTCTAAAGCCGATTTACTTATTTGCGCCGGTGATACAAATCAAAAAAGAAAAAACAAAAAATATACTTTTTTATTGGCACAAATAACGCATCAGAGTCACGATGTTAAGGTTAGTAGTAAAGGATAATATATACTAAAATTTTGCAAGAAATTTTTTTTATTAGAACGTTAAAGGTGATTTCTTAGTCAGAATTTTGAGCTACCGGCTATTTTTTTAAAAAAGCTTTCGTTTTAATGTTACACCAACTGTTACACCTGATCTTGCGATCTACATAAGAAAATTTCCTTATTTGGTTTGTATCACCGGCGCAAATAAGTGTACGCGCTTTAGCCATCCCCCATTTTTGGTAATCTTCCTGACTGTATTTACAAAATTCGATTTCTTTTTTTGGTTTGTGTTACCCGCACAAATAAGTAAACCCTACTTGCGATTCCTAAAAAAGCATGACTGGTTTAAAATTCACGTGACAACGTGATAATGTTGAAAATTTGTGTAACGGTAATATTTTTATATAAATCACCAAATCAAAACATGCTCCCACTTGCAAAAATAATTTACAGTACTGTACGTACATATGGCTACAGTATACGGGTATAGAAGAAGCAAGAACAAGAATGTAAATCTTGGAGTGCGTTTTTTGGTTCATGTTTTTGGTGCTTATAGGTTTTTCATTTACACGAATAAATTCTAGATTCTTATTAATGGATTCTTACAACACTGACCTAACGGCAATATTAATTTGGGAGGAACTTGTAGATAGAGTTGAACGCGTTAACAAGACGCTTTTGCCATTTAAAGCTAAGTATTCTTTTTTTTCTATAAACCAATTTGGCAACGGACAGGTCCAAATAGTGATTAGGGTTGGTGCCAAATCCTAGAATTATAGCGTGACAGTGGGCGGTCTAAAAGATTTTATCCTTTGACTCACGCAAATTCTGCTGCCATATTTAATAGGATTAAAGAAAATAATGGTCGACATGTATTGAGAATATACAGCACCAACACAAAAATGGAGTTTGGCTGCTATAACTGAGTGCACAACGTTGTTTGTATGTAACAAATTATTAGTCGATGCACCAAAACATATGATGTGAGTTGATGGTATACTGACGTATTCACTTTGTTGACAAATGGTTTGGTTAATTTATATGTATCGGTATGGTTTGATGAATATTCAAAAATTTTTTTTTTTTTTTCTTTTTTTAAATTATAGAATGAACATATTTTCCAGCAAGATCAGCTTACGTAAGGACAATTTATGAGAAACTTGGATATTACGAATTTTCTCAACATGAACATCTCATGCCACGAAATGGTATTATGTAGCTAGAAACGTAGAATAGTTCTAGTCTAATAGAAGATTACTTTTTATTAGTCTGATGATGATTCTCAACCGGCCGTATCCATCAAACAACCACTGAGCTGAAGAGAGAAACCAACTATGTATTTCAGCAATTGATTTGTAATAATTTGCTTATGTGAATTCTTAAAAAATAAATTGACACGAGAAGCAAATTGGACATGAGGGAGGGATCTGCAGATATAGTTGAATACGGTAACGAGACACTTTTGTCATTTAAAGCTATGTATTTTTTTTTTTTTTTTTTTTTATGTCAATTTAGCAGCGGACGGGCCCAACATTGTGATTAGAATTGGTGGGTTACGATCTGCCAAATTCTAGAACAGCGTGTGACAGCGGACGGGTCTAAAAGGTTTTATCTTTTGGATGGGGTTACGATCTGAGTTCGACCACCAAACTCCAGTGCATGATCTGTGGTTCCTGGTGGTCCGTCCTGACTCACGCAATTTTGCTACCATATTTTGTAGTTGCAGCTCTGTTGGTTCTGTCCTGCTTGACTACTTTCTGGGTTGGTGGGTTACGATCTGCCAATTCTGGGATTATAGCGTGTGACAGCGGACGGGTCTAAAAGGTTTTATCTTTTGGATGGGGTTATGATCTGAGTTCGACCACAAACTCCAGTGCAGGAGCTGTGGTTCCTCGTGGTCCGTCCTGACTCACGCAGTTTCTGCTACCATATTTTGTGGTTGCGGTTCTGGTAGTTCTAGCCTGCTTTATTGACTACTTTTGTCAAGTTTTGTCATTTAAACTAAGTCTTTTTTTTTCTTTTATAAGTCAATTTAGTAGCGGACAGCATGTAACAGCGGGCGGGTCTAAAAGGTTATACCACGAATCAAAAAAAAAAAGACGAAAAACAAAAATTATGAATACAAAAAATAAATGCTAAATCTATTCTAGAATGCTAATAACTAATAAAAAAAAAATTATAATCAATTTTTAATACTTCTCTAATATTAGACTGGTCTTTAATGTATTTAATAGAATTAATGTATTTGCAACATATAATACAGTAACAACATTGTAGTTAGCCAATAATAGTTAGGGTTTGGCTTGTACGTACATACGTAAGTTGTTACAAATAAACGTGTAACATGTTGTTACAATTAGATACGTTCTATTTAATAATCGTTATATGGTTACAGAACCGGTGGAGGTACGTACGTACGCCGAATGGGAAATACTTATTTGTGCGAGTGATATAAACCCAAAAGGAAGTTCAACGTAAAATTCGTAAAATTAAAAATTTAGGTTAAATCAGATGCTATGGAAATAAATGCTCACTTCCCACATGTGCCCCACGACAGGTTTAAACACCCGATTTCTTGTATTTTCACTTTTTTTATTTTTTTCGTGTTTTTCTTCGCTTTTTGCTATAGATGCTGGTGAAAATGGTGACTATCTAAAATCTGATTGGCTGTTATATTAAATTTCACGCGTGCATCTATGTGCCCCCAAACCGGTGTTACTATCGTCATGTGAAAATTTTTCTGCGCCTTGTCGTACGTTGATCATCCAACATCAAGTGCCAGAGTAACCTTCTTGCGTAATGATATATACTGATGGTGAGTTGGTGATTGTTGAGCCTTTAAAAAATATTGGTGTATTTTAAAAATCATTTTTCATTCATTATTAGTTAATGGGCTTCAATCTTTATTAAAGTCATCTATCGGAAAAAAAAATTTACTTGTTTGCCAAAAATTTAAAGTTTGGAACTAATCATACCTTATATGGAGTGTCTTCAATTAAAAGGTCCCATTTTTACATTTATCTCATTTCGAGATAATTGAGTTTAAACA